ACTTCATCTCTGAAATTAACTCTTTTCTTTTTTCCCTGAGTTTAGTCAGTTCCTGTTTCACATCTTCCTGTGGGCTCATATATCTCTGCTTCATCATTTTCCTTAATGGATGTAAAGCTTTAGAGACAAAACAAAATAAGCTGTTTAACCTGAGATCAGACCCTGCTTGATGTTCCTCTTAAGACAATAAAAAATAAAATGAATTAAAAGTTTAAAGCACAAGCACATCACCAGTAAACTGTGCTAGAGGGTAAAACCTGTACCTGCTGGTACCCCAGTCACCTGCTGTATGTGACAATAAAAAACTGAGGAAGCACCCGGAAGGAAACATTTATCAGGCAACTGTCTCCATCTCCTTGAGGTCTTCCAGACAGTGATACTGTCCTACCAGAAATACTGTCCTTGGAGAAATACTGTTGGAACATCACTGGAAACCCTCAGGTCGGCTGCAGGAGAAAAATGAATATTTCTAACTGTGCAAATTACTCTTGCAAATAAATTAGGATTCTGTGCATATAGAATCAGACAGGAATAGAGATTGGATAGTTGACTAGCATCTTCCATCTTTGAACATTTGGCCTTGAAGCTTAGGATACAAACTGTAACTAGATTTATGATTATTCCCATAGAGATGGACTTAATCTTCAAAAGAGAATATATTATAAATTAAGAGAAGAAAAGAAAAACAAGAAGAAAAGTGGAGGGAATCCATGTGCTTTAAGGACAGGGAAAGGCAAAGCAGCCAGAAAAGGGGACATGGAGTGTTTAGAGTCATAGTAAAGACGTCTGTTAAGATGTCGTGTTGGAGAGAAGCCTTCTGGTGTCCTCCCAGCAGCCTGGTGGCTTGCCGGTGTTTGGGAGATGGCACAAGTGACACCTGAATGAGAATTTCACATAGTACAGGTGAGTCTGTGGGGAACAGAGCAAGGACCCAGCAGGTGAAAACAGTGGCAAGGTGGGGATGGAGGGATCTGGGAAGTAGGGCAAGTCCTGTTATGGAGTCATGATGGGCGGCCACGGGAGAGGGAGGTTTCAAGGGTGGTCAGCAGCCAGGAGCCGTGACTCCCAAAACAAGGTCAGGTTCAAAGGAACTGTAGCCCCAAAAGCTTAGGTTTTGATCAAGACAGACCTGGATTTGAATCTCAGTTCTGTCACTTTCCAGCTGGATCTCAACCATAAGTGACAGAAGTTAGGCATAAGTGAAAATTTATCATGAATGGTTGTAACACTAAGAGCTTTCTGTGTGCTAAGAACTTTACAAATGTAGTCTCCTCGCCTCACTTACTCCTCCTAGGAATTTTCATCAGGTGGATTTTATTATCCCAATTGTTCAGAAATGTAACCCAAGGTTTCACGTGGTGGTATTCTGTATTCACTGTCACAGAAGTAGCCAGGAGGTAGGTTCAGGCCCAAAGCCTGAGCTCTTTACTGATCTGCTGGACCGATGCCCCCCTCTAATGAGTGTTCTGGCTTCAGGGCTCACAGCCTGTGGCCACCGCAGTCACCTGGCTATGGATTCCATCTGGCCTCAGCCCGTTGCATCACTGTGGTGGTGTCACCATGGTGGGCCTCTGTGCCCTTCCACCTCATCCTCCCTCCATGCAACACCTTTTGGGACTCTCCAAGACTTACAGTGGAGAAGATGAAAGGGATCTTGAAATGTATGCTCTCTGAGCACCAAACCCTGCTCCCAGGCCACCAGAGGCCCACTCCTGTCCCTCTCCTCTAGGTTTTGTGCTTTTAGATACAACCTGTACAACCCGCCAGTGTCAAACTCATCCCTGGGGCGTCCCCTGTCCACGCGTCTATCCATCACCACTGGCATTCCTGGTTGTCCTGAGCTGCAGTCTTTGGGACTGGGCAGAGCAGGAAGCAGATCTCGAGGGGCTCTGACCCCCTAAACATCTGATGAGTGTGTCTGTCTTCCTTCCGTCTTGCTTGCTTCCCTCTCAGTGGCCTCTTGGACCCTTTTCAAGTGCACAGACCCTGGAGTCCTGGATCCTTGAGGAGTTCTCTAAAATCTGAAATCAAGCACTTGGGGATCGTTTGGGAGCTGGGCTTTGTGGACAGTGCCACCCCCTCCTCCATCTTCGCTCTCACCTGACACTGGATCCCCGTTTGCTAAGAGGTGCGGCCCAGGTTAGAACCAGGATGCTTGCTGGTTAAGGATATGGGCAGGTGTGTAGCAAAGTGAACAGGAGCCCAGGGCAGTGATGGGAGAAGACAATGTATGCAAGAGCAAGTGGGAAAAATCAACGAGTGAGAGGTCCCCAGGTGGGAGAGCAGAGCAGACTGGCCTTTGCTGATGGCTGGACACGTGCTTCTCAGCGTTGCCCCAGCTGATCCTCTAACAGAGGCACACGTTGCCCCAGCTGATGCTCTAACAGAGGCACCCCCACCCTGGAGTTCTGGTCCACAGAAGCCACGCGTGAGCGCTGTGGTCCTGCCTTCATACTCGGGCCTGATCACCTGTGATGGAACGTGAATCAGGGGGCTCTGAAAGGGTCTCCTGTTGGGAACAGACAGGAACAGCAGAACAGGCTCTTTCCAGTTGGTGGGAGAAGCACAGTGGTCTGGCTCCTGAAAGCAGGAGCTAGGGGGCCACAGCTCTGCCAGGACTGGGTCTTATGTCCATGGCAGCCCTGCAGGGGAGATGCAGCTTGGTGGACAGATCCAGAATGGAGGGTTCATATGCAAACACTATGGTGTAGCAATCCTCTAAGCCTCACTTTCTGTTTGTGTGGAGCCAGGACAATGCCTGCTCCTTGTGGGGCTTGGGGGCGATGACACCCCCGGCTACACCTGGGTGCTCCATGCGGGCTCTTTCCCTTCACAGCCAGGATTCGTGGGGCTGGTGTCATTGCTAATACACACTCCCATATTTAACGTGTTTGCATTTCGTGATAGGATCGCAATCCGGGTGCTTCTCCTCCACCTCCCCTCTCCTTGACCTTCCTCCCAGACACAGGTTTGGCCCTCCCTGGGGCACCTGCCACCCTTGGCCCTACTTTAGGGCAAGGTGCCCACCCAGGTCATTGCCCCTGCTAAGGAATAATGTCCCTAAGGCAGGGCCTTGTCTTGCCCTTCTTGGACTGCACCCTGGAACGAGGATGCCCATTTGATAGACACAAGCACTTAGACTCGAAAGCACTTAGACAGGCAGTGTGTGTACACTGTGATTGTTAGTCGTGTGTAAGAGTGAAAGTGCATGCTTGCATTTCTGCTTCAGCTGGTTACCCTAAAACGACTCTCTCATCACCGCCACGTTGCACGATACAACTACTAACAGTAGTGGGGCTGCATTCCACCCATGTCCCCACCTGTCACCACTTACAAAAGTGCCCCCAGATCCTGGGTTTTTTTGAATAACCCGGATGGTTTCATTTCCTTTTCTTCCCCACTGAGATGTGCAAAAATGCTTCAGTGGTGTCTTTGTTAGCTGACTGTGGAGGAAAAAAATATGATTAAATTGTACATGTCCATGTGATAGAATTTAAACATTTTGATTGATAGTATCAAGTCTGCAGCAGAAAAAAGTAGAAAGACCAGAGGAAGATGTTCAGATATTATTTTAGACGTTCAAAGCCTCATTCTGTTGTCTACACCGCATAATTCATCGTATTGTTAGTCGATATAGTGAATATTGCAATTTGAAGTTACTTCGGAGAGGATAAGATTTTATTCACTCTTTAAAATTAGAGCTAAGCTTTTAATTCTTTGCCTTTAAAAAGCACATGGTTGGGACTTCCCTGGGGGTCCAATGGTTAAGACTTCGCCTTCCAATGCAGGGGGTGTGGGTTCAATCCCTGGTCAGGGAGCTAAGATCCCACGTGCCTCCTGGCCAAAAAACCAAAACATAAAACAGAAGCAAAACTGTAACAAATTCAATAAAGACTTTAAAAAGTGGTCCATATCAAAAAAAAAAAATCTTTAAGAAGCACATGGTTGCCTAATGGAATCGGATGCGGTGTGTGCCACCTTCTTCCTTCTGTTAGAAGTCCACTAAGTCTTAGAGTCAGGGATTAGAGCCTCCACACTGAGTCCAGCCCCCCATGAGCTCCCCCTCATGCTGTGAACCCCCAGCACCCATCCCTGCTGAGCGCTGCCTGGGACGGGCACAGCTGTCCCGCTTGGAGTCTCACCCAGTTCAGCACCTGAGCTCTGAGTTTGCCTCCCACCGAGCCTCCCACACAGCCCTTTGGAGGCTCTGCCCTCTCCAAGCTAAGCTTCAAGAAAAAGGTGAAATACTGAGCAAAAGCCCAAAGAAAACATGAGAATTCTTTTCATTCCTTTTTTTTTCCACTGGGAACTTCTTTTCCATTTTTTTTTTTTTTTTTTTTTTTGCACTCAATGTTTTGCTCCCCTTGGAAATTAAGCTCTATGACTTGGTTTTCAGAGGCGTGGAATGTTCTGCAGGGTGTGTGAATCTAAGGGTAGCATCCTTAGATACTACATGATGTACTACCGTAGGTACATCACGTACTTCAGAGGGATGGATCTCAGGCGTGGGTGTGAAATTCTACTCTTAGAGAGTACGCGTCAGGCCATTTTACTCCTTCGAAAGCTGAGAACTAAAACTACACAGGCCTACTGTATAGCACAGGGAACTATATTCAATATCTTGTAATAACCTACAATGGAAAAGAATCTGAAAAAGAATAGATCTGTGTATGTGTATGTATAACTGAATCTCTTTGCTATACACCTGAAGCATTGTAATCAACTATATTTCAATTTTTTAAAAAAGTGTCTTTTCAGGGTAATGAAAAGTGTTCTGGGATCGTGTAGTGTGGATGGTTGCACAACTCTGTGAGTATACTAAAAAGCACTGAGTGAAAAACCAAAAACAGAAAAGAACCAAAAGAAAAATGAGAACTACTGGTGGGGAGTTCATGACTGAACACGTGCTAACAGAGACCCTTCTTTGCGTGATTCTTTCCTAAAATGTGACCATTGTTCATGCATCAGTATTGTAATGTCTTGTCATTTCTCGTCTCCAGGCAAAAACTGGGACCTGACGGCCGCTCTGAGTGACTATGAGCAGCTCCGACAGGTGCACACAGCCAACCTGCCGCCTGTGTTCAACGAGGGCAGGTGCCCCAAGCAGCCCGAGCGAGAGCACCCCCCACCTGCGCACACGGCCGAACGGCCCTGCCCGCCCAGGCAGGACGACATCGCCCAAGGTACCAGCTGAGGGACCCGCCCTGCACCAGCTCCCTGGCCAGCACTCCCTGGCTTGCTTGGGGGCTGGGGAGGGGGGAAAACAGAAGGGCGAGGTCATCGCCTCCCAGCTGCAGGCAGATGGGGCTCTCTGGGCACCACACCTCATACTCCTTTACAGCTTCCGTTCCCGCCTCAGAAAAATTGGAGAGTGTGTCCACTTCTCTGGGACCCCACATTCCTCCTGGAGTCCTGGTTTTTCCAGACCCAACATCTCTGCTCCCTGCAATTATTTCTCAAGTAGCATAGAAGCCTCCAAACCTGTTCGAGATTGATGTTCATCATCCGATGTGCTTCGTTTTCCATGTCTTAATTACAGAAATGAGAAAAGCTCATTGTAACGAAGGAAACAATGCGAAGATCTATGAAAGAAACATAAGAGTTTTCTTCTCCACACCTCCCAAACCTCAGGGAGACTGACCAGTGGTCCCAGCTTGTTCTGTCTTCTCTGCTCCTTCTTAGTTTGCTTGTTCAAGGTGCAAACGCATCAGAGTCGAATGCACATAATGCACTTGGCAGAGTGCTTGTTTCATTGAACAATAAATCACAAACATTCTCTCTAAATATTTTATTCCACAGCATATGATCATTTTTAAACCATGCCTGTTCATCGTGATTCTGATTTTTCTTGGATTTTGTTGTTGGTGGTGGTTTTTGACACTATAGGCACTGCTAAAATAAACTTTATACCTGTAATTTGTATGTACTAGTGCTGTTATTTCTATAGGTTGGCATTTCCAAGGTGGATTAGCTGTGCCAACACATGTGTTTTTTTATTTGATAACTTCAAGACTTCGTTCCCAAACACATTTCTGTTCACCATGTGTGAAACTGGGTATTTCCCTTCATTCTTGCCAGGACTGGGCGTTCTCATGATGGTTTTACATTGTTTTTCTACTCCGAAGGGCAAAAATAGTGTATTTTAACTTTCATCTTGTCATTTGCTTGTTAGCCAAGTTGGATTTCCCCCTCTGTGACATGCTTGTTCACATACTTTGCCCATTTCTCCATTGATTTGTTTGCATTTTTCTTATCAATTTGTAGCATTCTTTATAATGAAGACTATAAAACATTTTGTGTATATATATATATATGTATACACATGTCTATATATACATCCCACTGCATTTTTTGCCTTATGACTCTTCACAGAGTATTCTGCCTTACAGAATGTTTACATTACTATACATTCATGGCTAATGGGTGTCCTTTTTCACTTTAGAAGTTCTCCTGGAGTGCAAAGTTACTAGCATGTGTTCCCATATTTGTTTTTAAACTTTGTTCTTAGGTCTTATAATAAATTTGAAATTTTTACGAATAATAGCTAAGGATCTAGTTTTGCTTCTCTGGATTGAGAATGAGGTATTCTAGCACATTTACTGAATAAAGCATTCCTTTCCCACTGAACTAAAATGCCAACTTTGCTGTACATTAACTTCCCCAAAATGTATTTGGCTCTGTTTCTGGACTCTGTCTCTTTGTGTGCCCACCCAGCCTGTTACACTTGACTCTTGTAGTTTCATATAGTATTACTCTCTGCAAAGGCAAGTTCCTTTATTGCTGTTCTTTTCCAAAACTTTTTCACTATTTTTGGATATTTATTCTGCCATAGTAACCTTAAAATTGGAATTCTGATTGGAATTGGATTGGATTTTTATTTTATTTTAGGAATAATTAGCATAATGTAATATTGTTTTTCCATCCAAGAACATTGCATATACCTCTGCATTTATTCACATTCTGTTAAGAGTTTAGGCACAGAGAAAAGCAACTTACTTTTTGTATATTTATCTTTTATCCAGTCATTACATAAGTTCTTTTATTAATACTAATTATTTGTTCTCAGAGAATATCTTGGGTTTTCTAAATATATAATCATAGGATCTGAAATAATTTAATATTCCTCTTAAAATTTACACAATGAATTCCACTTCTCCTATTGTATTAGGTCAACCCTCCCAAACCGTTGTGAGTCAATGTTGTCTGTTTCTTTTAGCTCAGCCTTATTATTCAAGCTACATTGGAATCTCTATCTTGGATTATTCTTCTATGCTTACTCTGTTGTCTAGAAAAGCCACACTTGAGTTAGAAAGTTTAATACTCATTACTTGTTTCTTCTCTTAGCTTCATCCTTTCCACTACGCTTTGGGGCTGTATTGGTAGGTGCATATGTATCCGTAATTGTTAGGTCATCTGGCTCTAATATGCTTTGTTACCAATATTTAGAGTGTCTCTTTGTCCCACATAATTGTTTTTATCTTTATTTTTTTTATTTTTTTTTAATTTTTGGCTGCATTGAGTCTTAGTTGCAGCATGCAGGATCTTCATTGAGGCATGCGGGATCTTTCATTGCGACGTGCAGGCTCTTCGTTGTGGCAAGCAGGCTTCTCTCTAGTTGTGGCGTGGGGGTTTTCTCTTCTCTAGTTGTGGCATGCAGTCTCCAGAGCACGTGGGCTCTGTAGTTTGAGGCATGCGGGCTCTAACTGAGGCTCACGAGCTCAGTAGTTGTGGTGCGCGGGCTTAGTTGCCCCGCGGCATGTGGGATCTTTGTTCCCCGACCAAGGATTGAACCCGTGTCCCCTGCATTGGAAGGCAGATTCCATACCACTGGACCACCAGGGAAGTTCCTGTTTTTATCTTTAAATCTGTTTTAGTTGATGTTAAACCTCTACTCTGCCTTTCTGTTGGTTCATATTTGGAATGACATTTTTTCAGCCATTATTTCAACCTTTCCTCATCCTTTTATATCAAATGTGATTCTTGGAAGTAATTTATCATCAGGTATTATTTTATTATCCAATACGAGTCTGTCTTTTAAGCAGTGAATTTAATCCACTTACTTTATTTTTATTATTGTCGTATCTGTGCTGCTTTATGTTGTGTGTTTTATTCACCATGCTTTTTGTATGTATCTTTCTCCTTTTCTATCTTTTCTGGCTAATTAAATTTTTCAACTGGCTTGAAAGTTATACATTCTCCTTATGTTATACTTACCCCTGTTCTATTAAAACCTATATTTAGGTTTTCTCCCTATTAATTTTTAAAACTTATCAACAACTATATTTTACCCTGAAAAAGACATGTGTCTTTGTTTTTATCTTCTCCCTCCTGCCTCCATGTGCCCTCAAACATATTTAGGTTCTTTCTGTTGCTTGTTCAGACCACAATCAACTTCTTTATTTACTCACATTTATCTTTTGCTGAAAGAATACTTTTTCAAAGACTATTTTCTAAAAGAATTTTTGCATGATCAATCTCCTAACGCTGTCAGTACCTAGAGGAGTTTACATGACATACTTAAATTTTTGTTCAGCGGAATAAGAATTCTGGGTCCAAATTATTTTCCTTTAAAAACATTCCATTCCTCCATTGTCTTCTTGCATCTTAATTTCACATCTTCTAAGAGATTTCCTTCACTTGCTCTTCTAACATCCTAATTTATTCTTCACATGAATCCGTTCTGTTAATCAGCATTCACATTATTTCATTCCAAATTAGCCTTTCTCATTATTATTACTATTTCACATTCTCATATTCTCTCTCTTTGAACATATTTACTAGGCTTACTTTATTTTTTTTAAAGTCTTTATTGAATTTGTTACAATATTGCTTCTGTCTTATGTCTTGGTTTTTTGGCCCCAAGGCATGTGAGATCTTAGCTCCCTGACCAGGGCTTGAACCCGCACCCCCTGCATTGGAAGGTGAAGTCTTAACCATTGGACTGCCAGGGAAGTCCCATCTACTAGGCTTACTTTAAAATCATGTCCTCCTGTGCATTCCAGCCCCGGGTACTTTGTGGACTTTCTGTAACTGTGTTTGCACTGCTCAGATGTTTCCTAAGTTTTCCCTGTGAACACACAGCACCTTGCAGTTACCAGCCATCTTAGCTCATGGTATCAGGGGAAAGGGACAAAGACATGGGCTCTGGTTTGCCTTCCTGTGAATGAGAGCATGGGGGGAAGCACACTCAAGTTGGTGAGTTCTGAATGCTTTAATATGGGCTCAAAATGTTCTCCACTGGCTCTCTTCCCCACAGTTGGCTTTATTCCTTAGGGAACTTCTCAGCTCATCTGTTCTAGAAATTGCTCATTTGCAGGGGCTACCACCTTCTATTCTGTCAGCTCACAGGGGGCGTAGGAGAGAAGAGAGAAGGCTCCAGGCCTGGCCAGCCCACCTGTTCCCATCGTGGTTGGAGCCCCATCCCAGCTGAACATAAGCATTGCCCTGACGCTCTTCCAGCTGGCTTTGGCCAAGGTGGGGCTGGCCCACGCTGTGGTGGTGATGGTTCAGGCAGTGAGCCACCAAGGGCTAGCTGGGGAGAGGAAAGGCACAGCCAGAACACCTGCCCTCAGCCCCCACCCATGGAACCCAGCCCACTCCCACTGTTCTGCTCCTGTGGGCTTCCTGGGTGGATTAGGAAGAGGGTGCTTAGCTGTGGTCACTGACTTGTCGATCTTGTTGTATTGTTCTTAAGTTCTCCTTCATTCTGCCTTTAGTTCTGACTCTGGTGGAACCACCTCTTCTAATCATTTGGTTCAGTCTTTCCCCCAGGCCTTCTGTGACTGTGTGTTCCTTCAGAACCACACAGGACCGCCTCCTGACATCTCTCATGCAGTGGAAGTCCAGAGAGCTGACAACTTGGCAGTTCCTGCCCTTTTCAAGTGGCAAACAATCTAAACCATTATCTCACCCTCCCAGGAAAGGGGCTAGAAGGATCCTCTCTGTTTTCACACAGATTCCAGAATCAGGGCCTTATACTGATACCTGCTGCTATCTGATTTTTATCAGATATTATTTAAGGGGAAAAAAAAGAGAAGTCTATCATAAGATAATTTCATTAACTGAGGCTTGTGAACAAACATATGTATTTTTAATAAAATAGAAATTGTAATTTCTGCATTAGATCTATATATCCTTTAATTGAATTCTTCCTGAAATCACAGTGCCCTAAAATGGAAAATAA